CCGCACCCAAAGTATTACGTAATATATCTCTTATTGCCCAAACTGTAATGCAGTGGATATATCTACATTTATATCGCTTTCACCGCTAATTTCGCGTTTATTGCGCACTGCCTGTATTTTTACGCAATCACATTTCAAATCCGGCTTGTACATGATGGAACAAGGTTTACCACTTATTTAAGTCCAGCAATGAAATCGCGGGTCGTATGACTGATGCTTAACGCCCTCTTTCCGCTCTTATAGTTACATGCTGGAAAATCTCACTCTGGACAATGTTTTTCCGACGATGAGCTCGCGGACAAGTACGATCTGCCGGAGCTCGTGCAAACCTGCACCGACTTCATCACCAGTCGGCTGACGAACGAGGGGATTTTGGCTACTCTGGAGGGCATTTTGGCTACTCTGGAACAGGTTAGACTCCGTCGCTGTAATTTGTTGAGGTGCAACTATGCAGTACTTTACTGTTTGTTAAGTTGTCATTTTGTATTATTCCTCCCCGTTGCTTGTGTCAGCGTAGATACTTCTGCAGGCGCTCCAGTGGCATGCTGATAGTAGTACTGTAGAGAAATGCATGGAGGTAATTGATTCAAAGACGGCGGCAGTGTTGCGATCCGAACAGTTCGCCACGATCGGGCGCAGCACACTCCTGGCGATCCTGGAGCGGAGCCTCTATCGGCTGATGAGGAGTACCACATTTACCAGGCTATGGAAAGGTAGACAAAAATTCATTTTCGTGATTGTATGTGACTGATGACATTTATTTACTATCGGTATAATGTGATATCCCTCTTCCACACGCCGTAAGTGAGGAAAGTAGAATACACAGACATCCACTGCCAGGAACACCCCAGGGGTCCGTACAGTACCACCTGCCTGTATATACAGTACCACCTGCCTATAATTAACTTTATAATTACTTTTAACTAAATTAAACAATAGAGTACAGTAATTTACATTAATTTCATTAAGTTACGTAATTCATTAGTGGAAACAATAGTTAATTTTCATTTTTCTAATTAACGAGTTAAAAAATACGAGTATACATGAAAAAACATAGTGTACGATTAAAAAACACACTGTACAAATAAAAAACTTAAATACCTTACTAATTACGTATATGTACATATGTACAAGTAAAAAAAGCGCGCGCTGTTAGCAGCGCCACCACACCTGAGCGTGCGTGTACGGTGTGTGGGTACCTGACGCACAAAGGCTCCTGTCTTGGCTAGCGTCTTGAAGACGCTGTGCACACGGCGTAGCTTGGCCAACGCCATATCTTGGCCCCTTAAAAATTCTAAAAATATTAGAATTACATTTCCCGAGAACCCCAGCGCTGATCCCGCTTTTCGCCGTGCTACTCCTTGGATTTTTGGTTTTTTGTGGAGAGACTGCGTGTGAGCGTGTGTGCAACGTGTTTTTTGCTCGGCATTCGTTTGTTGTGGCAATAATTCGTGCCTGTGTGTGTTGTGTGACGGAATCGCTGGCCCACTCCAGATCCCGCAGCGTTCGGAGTTTACGGATCACTCCTACGTGCTGTCGCCGAAGTACCAACTGGTACGTACTTTTTAATATTTAAAATATAAATAAATGTATGTGTGGCAGGTTTTTTTCGTACAATTGTACGGCAGTACTGTGGTTTTGGTACTGTAATCTGCTGGTATTTTGCAGATACTGTTCACTGTCATCTGGCAGTGTGCGCTCCATCCATCTGCACCGTGTTTCCGTAGTTCACCGCCTTTCGCGCTCTCCAGTAAGTGCTGAATTTTATTAAAATATTAATAAAATACAAAAGCACACTGCCCGACGGTTTTTTTGTGCGAAATGTGGGAATGCGCAGTGGCATTTTGTGGTGATATCTGTGGCTGTTTTACAGGTATCGCGACAGCTTTCCCCATTGTCAGCGCAGCTCCCTCGCGGCAGAATTTCTCCGCACCCACACGGAGTAAGTGAAATATATAATTTTTATTTTAAAATTATTTAAAATACCGCGTGCAGTTATTCGCCCACAGTTACGTGTGTATATTGTGCGACTGAATATAAAAGGCAGATGTTTTATTTTAACGCAGACTACGCAAACAAGCGCTTCTCTGTTCGATCCCACTTCTGACATCCTAGACTGCACAGAAAGTGTATCTACCGTGCACTTTTGATTTCCACCTGAAAAATCACAAAAATAAAAATGAAAATAAAATAAAATGAAAATAAAATAAAATAATTTGCGCAACCAAGCGATTTTCTGTTCGAACGCATTGGCAGTGGTGTACGCGTGCTGGTAGTGTATCTGATGGGCAATGTTTATCGCTTTCTGCGTACAACTTAAAATATTAAAATAAAATAATATAATAAATATTAGTTTTGTGCAATTCTGATAGTGTACCAGCACCGTGTTACCGTAGTTCATTTTGCTGCTTTTAAATATATTTATGAGAAATTTCTCTGCAGGCTTTTCTAAGACCGGCGATTGATTCCCTGCTGTGCTAGCGACGTTTCCCACGCCTAGCTTACGTGCCGCACCTATTTTCCTGGCACTCAAAAGCAACTCCGCGACGCGCTCACTGTAAGCACTTAAAAAATTTGGATATCTTAATAAAATAAAATAAAACACATATTGCTGCACCAACACCGTGTTACCGTAATTTCTTTATCATATCTGTAAAAAAATTCGTATGCGGCATGCCATACACGCTACGTACTGTACATCATTTACGTACTGTATATCATGCAAATTTTGTATATGTACGGTTAAATCATCTGTTTTTACGCTGTACCAGCACCGTGTTACCGTAGTTGACTGCTCTTTTAGTAAATATAATTTATATAATAATAATTTACTGTTGCTGTACGGTGTTCTGTACTCGTATACACACAAACATTTTATTGCCGATAATATGTACTAAATTAATAATCACATGTACCGCCACAGGTCTGCCCATTATAACGTGCGGCTTTATTTCCTTACCATTTGGACGTCGCGAACTGGCCATACCGACAGAAGTAAGTTTAAATAAAATAAAAAAATCTAGGAATAGTGCTATGCGCTATCGTGTGCGTGTGGTGTACGTGCCTGTGTGTGCTCGCTGTAATTGCGCTAAATAATTTTCACTAAATTATAACAATATGCTAAGAGTGTAAATAAAATTCCGAAATAATAACAAGTAATTGCAATATATGTACGCGTTCATAATAATATTTTATTTCAACTAAATTTCAGTGGCAAAACTTACGTGCGCTATTTATACGTGCAATTCAACAATACCGGTGTTATAGGTACATGTATTGACTATTGTATGTACGCTTATACGCTTTTAATATCGACTGCTTTAACAAAATGCTGCCATAATTACCGAATTTTTCAATTTTTCATTTTATTTTTATTAAATCATTTCAACATTCGTAATATTATTCCCATCTTTTTTAAATTTATCGAACCGTCATTATTTATGCGTACATGCAAGTGCAACTAATTATGTGCGTGTTGCTTGTGAATGCTTTATCTGTTTACACGTGTTCTGTGTACAGTGTACATCTCTTGATTGTGCAGTGTGGCGTATTTATTCATGACAGCACATTAGCATTGTAAAATACATACAATACACAGCGCGCATAAGTACAGTGATAATCATACGAGTATTTAAGAACATTAATATAAGCATTGTTACCGCATCTACAGCAACTATTTTCATCTTCAGCACAAGAGCGTTGATCAGTTTACAGTCAAATTTTATATCATTTCTTCAAACAGATTAGTACAAATACTATCGCAGCGAATTAGCTGAGTTACTCGAGTGTAAAGTTTTTAACGGTTTTCTTTTGTGCGTTGATCTGTCGGTATCCCGCAGAGATAAGTAGGATTAAGTGCTACGATGGCAGCATAGCTTTTATTCATTGTCAGCTGCGCTTTTTCATCTCCTTTATCGCTTTGATAATTTGAATAACTGTTTTCCTTTGTTGCATATGCAGTGAACGTGAAAAAACTGAAAAATTCATAAAATTAAAACTTCGATTTTGGTAAGCAACTTCGATTTTACGTGATATGTTGCATCATAAATGCATACCAAATTCGAAATTTTTTCAAAATTTTTTTTAGATGAATGTGTTTGAAGAGTATCAGAAGCGTCATTCAGAGTATCTTAACGAGACCGATCGCGAACTAGTTGATCGTATGGAGACGTTTTATGGTGGGAATCGACGTGCATATATGCGATCCCGCAGCCTACCACCGGATGCACGCGATAGTGCATCTTCAGACGTTCTGGAAGAGTACGACTTCGATCAGGAGTTTATTGAGCAGGGATTTCGCCTTTCCCATGAAGCCGATTTTGACGAATATGGTAACGCGTTGTTACCAGATCTGGCAGTTCCAGTTGATTACGGGAGAGTTATCCCGTCTGATTTGGTAGCGAGCGATGCAGTACGGGCGCTGTTAATTAAGCTAATTAAGAAGTCCAAGTATTTCTGCGCATCGAATGCAAAAGATTTCTACAAACACAAATCCAATATGCGCATTGCCAAGAAAATTGTTGAATGTCTGATATCTGAATACGGGAAAATTAACGCCCATAAGGCGTCTGCTGTTGTTAAGTACGTAGCCGAACTGGGTGGTATGAAAAGGAAATGCTGTTGAAAAATATTAAAGGTTGATGTGCAATGTCCCGCTGTGAACGTTGCGCTTATCCACAAAATAATACAATATATCAATTTCAAGGGCAGCTGCATTTATGCGCTTGCCATTTGTAGGCGTACTCGGTGGTGACACAGATTTGAAAGCGACCAATCTCATGAATGCATCAGTAACCTAGTGGCACATACACACAGTAACAAATACAGTCAAGCACGGAACATGTGGACAATGTCCACGCATACATTTTCAAAATTCATTTAACGTTCAACAAGGATCTAAAATTTTATTTCGTCGGTTCCAACCGTGTTTAGCTTTAAAGTGTTATACTCGCATGCTGTTCTATTTGCTTTCTTGAGATATGTCAAGTTTTAAGCTATGGCCCGGCCGAAGCAATCCCGCCCTCGAACTGCAAAGGACACTTTGCACTTCCGGGCGTTGGTTAACTCCTACGCTGCACGACTATCTACTTCCCACACCGGAAGAGATGTCGAGCTGCTGCGGGTTATACTACAAGCTGTTTTATCCACAAGAGGAACAGCTGCACGGCGCTTTCTCCAAAGAGCGCTCAGTCCTTATGTTGTTCGGTAGTCCTAAGTCACCGCTCTGCTTCTCGCTGAGTTTCTACCAGGAATTCGAGGAGACTGTGTTCCAGACCGGCTTCGATCGTCTTACTCATTCCATTAACGATTGTTTTGTCCATCTTGTACCCATCCGTCCTGACGACAGCCCTGTCTATGCTGAAGTTGTTACGGCGCAGCAGTTCGGCTATCTGTTAAAGTACTACACAGAATTCAACCGGATTGTGCTCGATCCATTGAACTATCAACGTATCACCGCGATTCTCGGACCGGCACCAAAGAAGCAGGAGTATCCGCCGTATGGCATGTTCGGATGTGACGTGTGGACTGTGGATAATCAAGTCCCGACCGTCAACAGCAACGCTGACATGTACGATCCCATTCACGCCCTAGAACCGACCCTGAATTTCCTAGACGACAAAGAAATGGATGTCATCTTAAAAGACCTGGCCAGCGACGGTGAAAATAAAGAAAACCAGCTCGATGTATACGTGCAGACCGGATGTGGACAAGT